TCAATAAAGCACAAGGACTTCCAGGTAGATCCAATGAATGGATATTTTAAAATAACTACGTATGTATGCACCTACTTATTTATGAAGAAGTTGCCATCATTATAATTGATACTCGTATCGATGATACTATCATATTATCCATGCACGTGTATTGATACTATCCCGACATCTGTATGCATATCATTTTATAGTTGATAGATAAGTGCATTATTATCATTTCTATTTATTGATGTCATGCTATAAAATAATATATTACACAAGTCTGCGAGTGCGTGTGTATGTGTGTTATAATGGCAGATACATATATCAAGAAACTATCGTCGTTACGCAATGATATATTGATATCGGTATGTATCAATTACGTAAATTGATCGATAAGATCTTAATAACGACATATCACTCAAATCAGTTGATTGCCCATTTAACATCACATATATTAAAGTATTGTTCTAAAAGTACTTGTTCTTTATTGAAAAAACTCTCTTCTTTCTCTCTCCTCTCTCTTTCTTTCTCTCTCTCTCTCTCTCTCTCTCTCTCTCTCTGCTTTTGACATTACATGTTACCAGGCTGTTAGTTACGATTGTATCATTGTATCATAGGACAGTATCTAATTCACTGAAACGTCAAATACTTTTATTAGTAATAAATCAATGTAGGTACATTTGAAGCAATTAATACGTCGGTAATGTTCATCGGTTTCATCTCTGTCTATCTTTATAAAAGCGATGCTGCTTTGTATTATAGTTACTTCATATTTATATATACTTTGTACTTAAAACATGCATATACTTTTATATAATTACGTACTTCATCGTAGTAATTCATAATTATGTACTTTACTCCTTACTTGAATTTCAATTAATTTCTTTTTATTTTATACACAGTACAAAGGCAGCAGACCAACATATAACACGTACTGTAGGTACATACAAACAATTTTACACACACAAACCACACCACACACACACACCACACACACACCACACACACACCACACACACACCACACACACACCACACACACACACACACACAGACACATGGGAACGAACTCGATCATCTAAACTGAGAAATACTCGTCCGAATTGAGTAATTTAGAGAAAAATTTTGATTTACACCGTCTGCAGTTTTCATCATCTGCTTGCATCCACAACAGTAAATAAATACATCCGTCATCAATCTTAACCAAAGATATAACAAAAACTACGTTTTTTTGTATCTATGGATATAAAATCTATGTTTTATATCTATGTTTTAAACCTGTTTTTTTTATTCCAACTCGTCAAAGATTGCATAAAAGATTGCAACAAACATTCAATAGACAAACTTCTTTGTATACAATTTTTTTATCCAACTTTTGTACACAATTTTGCATACAATATTTTGTTTTATACAATTTTGCGTAGAATATTTTGCATTTTGTGTATCTGTTGTATATACCAATTTCTGTTTGTATAACTGTATACAATATGTAACTTTCAAACCATCCAACAGATGAATGAAACCACAAGTAAACCACCACCAATAAAACGCCGGCAAACATCTACCTCAACAGCCCTCCAATACACTGACGTTCGCTACTTAATCAACATAACAAGGCACCATTATACACCCTAATTAATAAACAATTAGTCTTAATACTTGCTTCATGTTTGGCAAAACCGAAAAAAAAACCTGCTTTCTGTGGCATGTATGTATTTTTATTTAGATATATACGGTGACATAAAAATACGCGAAATTTAGACACACGTGTTTACACATACATATATACATATTAATACCTATGTACGGGTACACGCATACATACATGCATGCAGAGACAAATATTGTATTTTTTTTATTTCTTATATGTATATTTATTGTATATACTTACACGAAATAAAAGTGCATGTGTGTATATACTTGTGTATACGTATGTATATTTGAATGTATGAGAGATGTCTGATTTATTAGCATCGAGTAATTACCGATATATGTTCGATTAGATTCAATTATGCCGGTAATTTTCATCATTAACGATAATAGGCCCATCAATATATCGTCAATATCGTGTCTTGTTGCTTGTGGTGGTGGTGATGATGATGGTGATGTTTGTTTGTTGTTGTTGTTGTTGCTACTGTTGTTGTTGTAGTTTTAGTAGTAGTAGTTGTTTGTCCGCTTGTTTGTTATTGTTGTTTGTCTGCTTGTTTGTTGTTGTTTGTCTGCTTGTTTGTTGTTGTTGTTTATGACGTTGTAGTTGTCAGGTTTTGTGTCGTTGGGGACAATTTCTTGATTTTGCTGTTGATATTTTTTTTCCTGCAAACTCACTCACACACACATTCACACACACACACACACACACACACTCACACACACACTCACACTCACACACACACACTCACTCACACACACACACACACCAACACAAACAATAACGTACTTAAACATACATAAACATACATATTATTACGTGTTTTTGTATCTGAACATTTATTTGTGTGAATGTGTATGTGTACATATGTGTGTGTGTGAATATGTATGTGTACAATGTACACTGTACATATGTGTGTGTGAATGTGTATGTGTACATATATGTGTGTGTGTATACATATATGTGTGTGAACGTGTATGTGTACATATATGTGTGTGTGTGTGTGTGTGAATGTGTATATGTTCATATGTGTGTGTATGTGTATTTGTGTGTGTGTATGTATTTTGCTTGAAGCCAGTCTTATGAGAGGACAGCCATATTTTCTGATCGATGCGCCTGCTAAGTGATTTTTCAAGTTGCAACCAACTCAAATAACGGTATTAATTAACAATCACTCTCAATATTATAGACACACATACATGCATACACACATACACATACATAAATAAACACAAATATATACACACACATACACACTCGTACATACACAAACATACAAAGAAGTGTGTACAAAGAGGTCGGGCGTACATGACTTTAATAAGTGTGAAAGCAGTTACGAGGAATGTATACTTAATTTGCGTGTGCGTATGCAGTTAAATGCGGTTTAGATGATGACTTTAGATACTTTTTCTTACTTGTTTTATTCTGTTTCCTATATCTCCGTGTAATTACGTAGGCGTGTGTGTGTGTGTGTGTGTGTTTGTGTGTGTGTGTGTTGATGTGTGTGTGTTAGTATGTGTGTTTGTGCGTGTGTGTGTAACTGTGCGTGTATGTGTAATTGTGCGTGTATGTGCGTGTAAGAATGTGTTTGTGATTGGATACATTAATATGAGAATCGATGAATTTTTGTGTTGAATATTTTTTTAAAGTGCACGTGTGTGTGTGTGTGTGTGTGTAACTGTTGATTTGAAATGATTCATAGTTGTCATCCGTAATGTAGAAATAATTGGTTTGAATGATTCGATGTAAGTGTTGATGTAATGTAATGCAATTTTGATGTAACCTGATGTCATTTGAAGGTGGTGGTGCAAAAGATGTTGAACCAGGCCAGCCACTACATAAATCATAGCATCAGCAAGAACGAACATAATGACATCAACAACTTAACTTCGAATCGCAACATTCCGTCAATTGGTAGTAGCAGCAGCAACAAAAACAACGAAGACATCAACACTAACAACCACAACAACAACAACCACGCCAATTCGAACCAGCATCATCACCAGCAGCACCATCTCCATCCTTTCAATAAAAACTCGCTAATTAACGGTATCCAGGCCAACGGTTTCTACGGCAGCAGCGTTGACAAGTTGTCACCTTCTTACGATTATTCGCTCGCCGATTCATTTTGCAATGAAGACTCGCTCATGTGGCTCGGAGCAGCCTACAACGACGCAGGTGATAACGATGACGTCAGCAGTCCACGTCATCTTGACGACATCGGTAACGCTGCCAGTGGCATCGGTAGTAGTGGTGGAGTGCAAGAATTCGTTGGCAGCCCGTCGTACGTTTTTGAAAATTTAGGCGGTGACAATTTGAAAAACTATCAATCTATGGGAAGAAAATCAATTGAGCTCTTTAAAAATTATTCAAACCGTCGCCCTGGCCGCCAGGATTGTAACGCCGTCCACCACAGCCACATCAACCACAGCCAAACGAACTGCACCACAAACAGCAACATGACAAACAACGGAGATGGCAAAGACATTACGGAAATCGGTAACATCGTCAACATACCGACATCTTACATCACGCCAGCAAGCACTACACTGCCGGATCTCATACCGAACATTTCAAACATTTCGACGTATCCACCTCCCACCTGTAGTTCTCGTAGCGGGAAAAACTATAAAAGTGCTGAATCGACGACAAGCACGCATTTTTACAATCACGCCAACAACAACAACAACAATAACATAAGCAGTAGCAACAACATCACAAACAACAATAATAACAAAAACATCAACAGCTGCAACAACATCAACAACAATATAAGCAACAACAACAACGATGTTCACGAAGTTGATTACAAATTTTCATGTCGCGAGAAATTAAGGTGCAGTGACGGAAGGTGCATGCCATCTGGCAACGAAAAACAACAGTGCTTCATGCAAAATCTGACGTCATCATTGGAAGGTGACGTCAACAAGACAGCGCAACCAAACAAACAAACACATGACGCCACTTTCAATTCAAATCCTCAAATCAGCAGTGCAGGCTTCAATAAAAAAATGAAACCCAGCAAATTTGGCGGAATGGTTCATAGAGGCAGCTTCAACAGGACGGACCTACAGCATAAGAAACTGAGTGTGGCCAGTTTTAATCGCAATGCAGCCAGCAACGTTGCAAACAACTGCAACACTTTCACGAACAGATCCGATTATACGTTGGCATCGTCCATGGCATTACATCACAACAACAACAACAACAATAATAACAATAGTAACAACAATAACATCAATCATACCAATAGCCATACGAATTACAATATCAGTCACAACAATCAGCAGCAGAGCAAACGAGAGGGGAACACCAGGCCGAACAAATCCCACGCCAACGGTTACAATAAAAAAAGTGCTCCAAAGTTATTGAAACCACGCGAGGTATGCTCCATCTGTGGCAAACAATTTGCATCGCAGGCAGCCAGGCAGCGACATTCGCTGCTACACGTTGAAGCCCGTCCATACCGATGCGATTCTTGTGGTATCGGTTTCAAATTGAAAGTTCACCTAAAGAAACATAACCTATACAAACATACCGACGAATATCCGTGCGAATGTCGAGTTTGCGGGAAACGGTTCAAAGATTCGTCTGCCGTTAGATTGCACGAAAGAATTCATTCTAGTGAACGACCATTTCAGTGTCAGTGTGGAAAGAGTTTCAAGACGAGGGAGAACCTGTGGGGACACCGTCACCGAAGACCCTGCATAAAATATTTGGTTCAAGAAGAGGCTGAGGTATCGGTTAATGGGAAAAATATTCTCAGCAAAAGTGTTAGTAGAAATAAAAAGTTCAATAAGAGCAAGCTGGCGGTGAACTTCATTGATGACTCGACGGAAACTAAATTGAAAAAATCCGTCGAAAGAGAGAGGATGACCTTCGTTACGGGGTCAAATGATTTGAAAGAATACTGCCTTTATGACAACCTAACTCAACACGTCAAAGACAAGGACTTGAAAGTTTCCTTTGAGAAGCCGCCATTCTACATAGACCACATAAATTATCAGGCGAACAACACGAGTTATGCGATCACACCACAATCAATTAACAAAATGTACGGGACGTCGGTAACCGATTATCAACAAAACTCGAGTTTTGCAGGAATTACCGACATCCATTCAAGTTATACGCCTACGTCGGATAAAACATATTCCTCTTATTACAACTCTCTGCCTCCTTTTGAATCTCTTATTCCGCCCAGCACTAAAAACTCTCCGAATGAGCAATTATTTAGCGCGAATTTCTCTTCTGATCTGTCATATTCGAGCGGACAGCAGTGGAATTACAGATACGGTGATAAATACAGCCATCCATACGATCGTTTCACTAGCAAGTATTTTTTTTCGACGCCCTACCAAAGCGACGCATCTTCCTGGCGTATTAATTACCCACACTCGTCAGGGTTCTGGCCAAATTACGGCTACAGTAATAACGATAGCGAGCGAGTTTTATTTCCAGGTAATAATCTAAGTAGTAATACTAATAACAGTAACAGTAGTAATATTTATGAGAAGCAAGGCTCTCCTCTGTCATATTTTTACAGAGGTTGTGAGATGAACAATGCCAATGAAAACAGTCCGGATAAAAGAATTAACAGTTGTGTTGGCTCCATCTATCGTACAGATATGCTACAAGATTTAGATTCCAGTTTTTCTGGGAAGAACTCGTCATTATTGAGTGAAAGTGTCGATGAAAATAACAATAGTATTAAACCAGTTGTCATAGAAAGTTTAAACAGCTTATACTAATTTAAGTATAAAATATGTTAAGGGTGATTGGTTGATTGATTAATTGGTTGATTGATTGATTGATTAAAATGATTATCAGATCCCATCCATTTTTTATATTAGTTTAGTTCTGTCGTTTTAAAAGTTTTTTTTTATCCGTAATATATTGTGCATTTATATTATATCATATAGTAGTATTTGTGACAGTATAAATACTCACTACTCAACATATTACATAGTTTTATATTCGTTGTGGTTTTACTTATTAATTTATTTTCAATTATAAAATTAATTTATCAGTTTTTGTTAATGATAACAGTCAAAAAAATTGTTCATCTTGTCTTGTTGGAACTGAACTAATCCCAAAAATCTACATGTATAAATTACGCGCACACACACACATATATAATATATAATATATTTTAAAAAGTGTAAGAATTTATCATGCATACATTACTCACACACCATAATGACAAAATTATATTATTATATTATATAATAATATAATATATTTAATTCAACTTAATATATAATATATTTTAGTAAGTATAAGAGTTTATCCGAAATGTTCAGCGAAAAAACGTTGCAGCTATTAGTTGGATCGTAGCGCACCTGCTGCTAGTTAGTGCTGCAAAAGTTATGGCCTGCCCTGTCTCTAGTAGCCTGTGTGTTTGCCTTATTTAGGTGATTTTTGTTCGATCGCCTGTTCCCCGCCGTCCAATCATGGTGTTTCGTTCTTTAAATTAGATTGATTTATAGGAAAAAATTTGTTTTTAATTTAAAAATATATCTAACGATGTCTTGCGTTTACCTAGTAATTTTATTTAGCTAATTCAAATTTTTAACTGCAGAAGAACTGATTGCTTCAAACACGAACAGACATTTTTTTAAATTACACGCTAGGCTAGGGTAAAAAATAATTTTGTTGTTTTGTTTTTGTTGTTGACCGAGTTACTGTGCAATAAAAGTCAAGATATAACAGTGCATCTTCCTTCATCTATCAGATCACTGATCTGACATCAACACAACACAACATGGGTGATGAAATTCAATTTAAGTTCCACACACTGAAGTTCAAGCAGAGTGGTCCCTTCTTGTTTCTTTCTGTGCTCTCTGAAGATGGACATCATAAAGTTTTACTAAACGGAAGCATTGCGCAGACGTTCACAACCAGCATCATGCCTGTCCATGACATCAAGGAAGGAATCCTGTACATTGACTGGGCAGATACTGGTCACCTGACTGTGTTGCACGAAGATCTGAAAAATGGCAAACACAAGTACGATTTTCAGTATATTTCTTTTAAGCCCAAGAAGCTGATTGAGATGTTTGATCTACGTGGGGCTCACTGGTATGGTGGCTCTCAGATTATGAAGATGACCTGGCCTCTTGAGAATTGGGAGATGAAATTAGCACCATACGTTGCAGATGATTCTTTCAAATATGGAAATTTTGGAGGTGTTCAAGAAAGATATTTTTTCTCATCGAATGGTGTGGCCATATTTTTAGATCATGTATCTCCACTTTTTGTTGGCATAAATGAATCAAATAATCGACAGTTGACATTTGTTTCAAAATTTGATTCTCCTTACACCAATCCTGACAAGAAGCAGCCTTATTTGAAATATTCCATCATCCAGGATAAAGGCGGGTTGAAGGAAGTTCACCAAACGACATCTCATTTGTTGATCTCCAAGCCTACAAATATTCCAGATGAACTTGTTTTCAAATATCCAATATGGTCAACGTGGGCAGTCTACAAGAAAAACATCAATCAGAGGACAGTTTTAGAATTCGCTGATGAGATAAAAAAAAGAGGTTTCAAATCCTGTCAGCTAGAGATTGATGATGATTGGACACCACATTATGGAGACATGGTTTTCGATAAAAATAAATTTCCAGACCCAAAATGGATGATCAGCAAACTGAAAGAAGATGGCTTCAGAGTGACATTGTGGGTGCATCCATTTGCAAGTTCTGTTTCCCTTGCTGCTGGCGAAGATTACTGGCTGACCTCATACAAGGGAGGTTACACAACTTGGTGGAATGGAATAGGGAAGTGCCTTGATGTAACAAAACCAGATGCCATACATTGGTACAGAGACAACTTGCAAAAGTTGATGAAGGAAGTTGGAGTTGTTTCCTACAAGTTCGATGCCGGTGAAATTAACTGGCTGCCTTCAGGTTATGGCAGCCATGTGAACATGGACACTCCAAACGAGTACCCAACAAGGTATGCTGAACTCTGTTATTCTGTCGAAACCCAAATACGAGCTCAGGAGGTGCGAGTTGGAGTCAGAACCCAGCATCTACCAATCCTAGTGCGAATGATGGACAAGCAGTCAGCCTGGGGATATGACAATGGATTGAAATCCCTTATACCTCATGCCTTGACATTTGGATTGATTGGATATCCATTTGTACTACCAGATATGGTGGGAGGTAATGCATACAATGGACTACCAGATAAGAATTTGTACATAAGGTGGATGGAGGCCAATGCTTTGATGCCTTGTGTTCAGATATCAATTCCACCGTGGCAGTACGATGAGGAAGTAGTCAAGATCACAAAAAAAATGCTTGACCTTCATGAACACTACTCAGGTTTGATCATCAAATTAGCAAAAGATGCGAAAGATTATGGCTACCCGATTCTGAGACCATTGTGGTGGATTGCTCCTACAGATGAGGTAGCGCAAATCCTTGATTCAGAGTTCCTTCTTGGAGATGACATCCTTGTTGCCCCAATTTTGGAGACAGGAATGCTCTCAAGGTCAATCTACTTACCAAAGGGCACCTGGAAATGTCACCTGACGAACAGGGAACTTGAAGGAGGCAAATGGTACGACAATTATGAAGTCAAGTTGGATGAATTGGCCTATTTCACCAGAGTGCATAGTTAAAACTTAAAATGCTTCTTTTGTTGAATTAATTTATTCAAATTTTCATGCAACTATTTATTTGAATGATGTAGTCTGTGAATATATTTATTTATATACATATAGCTTACCAAATTGGTGTCCTTAGTTCTCTATCTGCATACATTTTTTATTCACTTTAATTGTTATATAATTGCTTGTAGTACAATTTATTAAGAGCATATTGTTTTTATATTCCTCAGTCAGCAAATCTGCCACTTTACTTTTTTAGTGGAAAAAACTTTTGTATCAGAATTTTCTGCTTGTAACTCACTACAACCATCTTCGTATTTATTTATAATATATAAAATAACGCAAGAATTATATAAAATAACGCAACATTATACACCAAAGTATTTAACAGCAGCCCATTATTAGTTGAATGAATTGAATGGCATGCCATACATTTCTGCAAGCATTTAACAGATACAACCTCATTCAGGCTTATTAACTAACGCTCGTTAGTTTTCAGTTGTTGCCATATTGATTCGTTAAATTCTTTTGTGACTAACAGTTAAACACATACATCAAAATGGAACATTTCCTCATTCTATCTGGTCTATGATCACCTTCATCACCTGTACTATCCGACTGTTGATTTCGTTAATTTATATTTTTCATTCCTCGCTAATTATACTTTTGTTATATTGCTCTTGTCATTAATTTCCTACTAGTTGGATATTTAATACGTTTTAGTAGTTCTGTTGGTTTTATTTCTATTGTTAGTGGCGATGATGATAACAACATCATTTTATAATTTATTGAATTTTCTAAATATTAAGAAAAAAACGTCTCGAGTTCAGTTTTTTTAAAAAAAAGCTATGCAAACAAAATAACGCTACGTGTGCGCGCGTGTATGTGTAAGTGCGTGTCCGTGTGATGCGTACATACAATGCAACAAGCAAAATAGTTGAACGATTAAAGAGAGATATAAACATGGATCTAAAATAGACTTTAATGGTTACAATTTACCATCATGTTTACAATTGGTCTTGACGTATATAATAGGACTATACGGAAACGAAATGTATGAAAATAAGAAAAATAGACGGAAATAACAAAAATGACATCCCATTTGCTTGCGCTTAGATTCGGGTTGCGTGATTTCACATTCCCCGAAGTTGGGGATTTAGTGGGAATGCGGCGGATGGCCTGTTCAGTTTTCATCTGGTATTCCCTCTCCAGCCCCTCTAGCTTCGTTGCAGTTGCTGCTTCCACAGTAGCCAACTCGCGATTACGAGATTCAACCGGTTCCTGTATATTTGTTTGAGGAAGGTTAGTGGAATATGATTTCAACATATTCTCATTTCTTTTTAAATATTGAATTGTGACTAATTGCATATACGTAATCGTATTTATAATCGGGCGAGTATCACGATTTCTGAACAACGAAATTTAGATAATTTGAATTGACAAAAAGAAAATCCGACCTGAGATTTCATTTGCGGATTCCACCTAAGGTAGTATCCATTCCACATCCGCAGTCTCCTGAGACTCGCCACCACCAGCAACACGTGCTTTTGAGTGTATTGTGCACAGTAAAGTGGATTCGTGAAGTCGTCCAACTGAGAGTTTATGTAGGACCACAATGACACCGTCCTCTCCGAAACTTTCTGAAGATTTGTGATTGGTGGATAAGAAGTTTAGTGAGAAGTTTTAATGTGTAATCCAATCTAATGAACTTGTTTACTATTAAGGTAGCTACACATTTATGAGTTGCCAAGTGAACCTGAGACTATATCATTCAAAAGTTATCACCATCCCCATCAGCACTCCTTCCCATATAAACCTAAGATATCGTCATAAGTCATCGCATTATTACACTACCACCACCACCACCACATCATCGTCGTCGTCGTCATCACCTCATTCTTCCTTTGCAGTTCACAGTTTCCGAGAAATGTTCCAAACAGACAGCTGTACAGGTGGTCTAGGATCGTTATCAGGAACAACTCGTTGAATTCGAAAGCATTGGGAAACTACGTGTTTGCACGTATGTGTACATTTAAGCAGGATATATACTCAAACGTTCAAACACTTGAAGAAACATACAAACACATGCAAATTAACGGAAACAAACGTACATACATACAAAGATATATACAAACATACAGAAAAAACACGCATACGGCTACCTGTATAGTCATTTGCCACACACAGTCGATGAACTGTAAGAAGACTGGTGATCTATCCGAATCTGAATGCTTGTCGTCTCCATGTCCTATTCTCTGTGCGTGTGTGTGTATATTAGGGTGTCCCAGAAATGCACGGAAATTTTTTTTTTTTAATTAGTTGATGTCTCACCCTCTGAAAAGTGTCTCTTGGGTACAATAATTAAATTGGTGAAGTTACAGCTCATTTGAACAAGTTTGAGAGGTCCCCCAAGGGCTTTTAACATTTTACTATCGAGTTAATTCAAAGTCCATATCAATAATCTTAAACAATATGCACAAAATGAGTGAAATAAAGCTAGAAATGCAAACTAGTTTAATTATCTCATTGCAGACATTAATTATAGTTTAAAATATTATTAACAATTACCTGTAGAATGGGTGAAATACTTTATTAGAGAATGCAAAAAATGTATATTTTTAACCAGCCAACTCGCTATGTTACTGGTGTGGTCAACGTAGATTGGTTACCTGTCCTGCTCTCATCACTTGTTGATGGCACTACAAAACTTCTTGGAGTTCCAAGGTTAGCATCTGGATTAGGACGAGCAGCTGCTGATGCAGTTCATGAACATATAAAATCTTGAAAGTGTGAATCAATGGTTATTGGCATGTGCTTTGACACGACAGCTTCCAATACTGGAAAATTCAATGGAGCTTGCACTCTTCTAGAAAAAACCATGGGACGTAATTTAGTATGGATGGCTTGCCGTCATCATAAGTTTGAAGTGCTGCTTGCCGGTGTATATAGTGTTTGTCTTGGAACATCCACTGGACCAGAAATTTTATTCTTCAAAAGGTTTCGTGAAAAATGGACAGAAATGAATTACACACCAGAAGCCAGATCAACCCCTTTGATAATTGTTTCAGATGCAATTAAAGCATTCATCAAATGTCAACTTGAGGTCAGACATTCTAGAGATGACTATTTAGAGTTTCTACTTCTTGCTGCACAAATAGCTGAACTGCAGGTTGATGTAGCCATTCGCAAACCTGGTGCACGGCACAGGGCATGATGGATGGCAAAAGCCATCTACGCATTAAAAATTGAACTATTATTCACCGTAAATAAAACCATTTTTAACTTAAACAGCTCGAGAATTACATGGTATTCAACGTTTGAATCGGTTTATCATTTGTGTTTATCTTCAGTCATGGTTTTCATGCAGGCTCACTGCTGATGCACCTACAACAACAACAACACACGTTTAGACGGCATTTTCCCCGAGATCGGGGGTTGCCGATGCACCTGTGAAGGATATTTTGTTGATACAGCGTTTGCATGACTATGACGATGCAGTTCTTGGTTTGACGATTAAAAATGATGCTGCGTCATTTTTGGTACATGAGTCCAGAATTGGCAACTCTTGTTCTTTTTACATCTCTTCTGTATGACAAAGAAAAGACTGATCTTGTCCGCACAATACAAGCAGATCGAGGCCCACATCTGATGAAAACACTACCACAAAGTTTTGACAATTTGCGTGCGTCTAAAACATTTTTTGAGACATCTAATATTGATGCCAGTTTTCTTGATGTACTTGTTGAAAACTGGTCAGATACTCCTTCTTTCCAAGTTGCAGCAGTGTTTGTAAAGAATCTGGTTTGCATCAATGACTCTGCAGAACGGGGAGTAGCGTTGGTACAACATTTCAATAAAACAATCACCAAAGACGCAGAGCAGAAACAATTTTTGCTTCAAGTAGTTGAACAGCATAGGAAAAACTTTGCAGAATATAATCGTGAACTGGTAGCAAAAATTTGAATTATTTGCATTAATTAATATTCAAGCAAACTGAAATTCAATAAAATCTTGTTTTTCAATCATTTTTGACCTAATTTTTAAAATTAAAAAATGAAAGGCATTGCAGATTTATATATTTTTTCACAATTATATATTTTGTTTCATTTGTATAAACAAATCATAAAACATTTATAATCATATCATATAACACTGTATCAAAAGTTGGTAGCAAACGATCAAACACCAAAATCGGAAACTTTCGACCCCTTGGGGGACCTCTAAACATTGTCCAAATGGGCTAAAATTTAGCAGGTAAATTACTGTTACCATACAGACATATTTAA